TTTCTTTTGGGGAAAAAAGGAAGGGGATCGGAAATTACATTTGATAAGATGGGATACAACTTTGGTTAATAAGAGTAAAGGTAGCCTGTACATTGGTTATTTTTTGATGCTTTTAACAGGGCCTTATTATACAAATGGAAATGGTGATTTCACCATTATATCATTTGGACCGATGTGATAAATATATTTCATGGACGTGATGGTGGTTTTAACTTCAATACCCACAATTTCGTTCTGAATTTAGGGATATGGTGTAAAGTTATCGGAACAATAAGTTAGCTACATGATCTAGATATCATTCCCAAAAAATACGATTCAAAAAAATATTAGAAATGGTGAAACGATTGACTTTTGAAGAGATACAGGGCTTCGAGAAATTCCTTTTATGAATTGGTTTCCAAGGTTGTTTTTATCGGAAACAGTGAAGGATTGTAACATTAAACACATATGGAATGGCGTGAAAATGGATCAGACATGTAAACAGTGGCATTCTTTTAACACACATTCAACAGAGGAAAATCCATCGATTTCAAAAATCGTAAGGGTTCAAGTCCCTCTATAACCAAAAAGACCATTTGGCTCTTTAATTTTTTATCGTATCCATTTTTTTCTTTATCTTTTTTTCGTCAGCGGTTCAAAACTCCTTAGTATTAATAGGAATTCTTAGCTTTTTAATCCTATTTTGTCTATTATATTGTAATTATTTGTTAGTTCTTTATTAATTTTTCTATAATAAAATTCAATCGTTATAGTTATATATATATATATATATATATATATATAATATATATATATATATATATACTAGTTTATAATCCGTGAGAACCACGGTTCTAAAATTAATTAAACTTTCATATTAAAAAATCAAAATTATTAATCAATTATTTTAAATAAATTACTACTTAAAATATATTTTTTAGTTATATAAAATTATAATCGTTGATTTAAATAAATACGTGAAGTTATATCACCTTATAATCTGCATAAAATTTATTTTATTTTTAAATCTAATGTTATTAATTTAATATAATTAAAATGAAAAGTTTAAAATTTAAAATTTAATGTAATTAGGGTGAGAAATTTAAAATTTAAAATTTAAAATTTAAAATGGATAATTAATATGTTGACAAGTGGCATTGATGGAGAACATATAATATTAATGGAGAGGTCTAATATAATGACACTTGTCAATAGGAGAATAAATTTATTCATTTATTAGAATATATATATATATATATATATTATATATATATATATATATATATATAAAATCAATCTCTACTTTTCATTACCAAAATAAGGAAACAAGGATTTAAACAATATTATACTAAATTCTCTAGTAAATACCATGCTAATTATAAACATTCATTTAATAAAGCTTTGGCAATTAAATGACTAATTATGGAATATTGAACCATTAGGTAAGGGTGAGCTTGGTCTGGATTGGATCAGTTTTGGGGTAAAAACAAACCCAAACCCGACTTATCAGTCTTATGAAAATTAGAAACTAAACCAACCTAAAACCAATGGATTCGGTTTTTCAGTTTTCTGTTTTACCCATTCAATTTCAGGTTTGGTCGGTTTTAAAACCGGACAATTTGAATCTTATTTCTCAAATACTAACCAATGAATTTTTGGGTTATGACTGATAAATCCTAAGACTTTAGATTATATAATGGGAGGTATTTGCTTGAGTTTGATCCCATGTCGATGTGGGATGCTCAATTGCCATTTAAAAGAGATAGAGTTACCTATCTTTTATAATAGAGAATTTTGGCTGGGTTTTACTCCTAGGGTCAATAACCCCACGGTCTCAAGTATAGTGGTAGACCAACTTTACCTGCGGACAAAGCTTCAATAACATGTAATTTATAAATATATACTCAAACATTTTGCAGAATAAATATATTTCATTTAAATCGGTTTGGTTTGGTTTTGATCGGTTTCTAGATTTTTTAAAACCAAAACCGAACCCAATATTTCGGTTTTCCAAAAAAAATCAAATCCAAACCGTCGGTTTCTCATTCGGTTCCGGTTTTTGGTTTCGGTTTTATCGGATTTTCGGTTTTTGGGTTCGGTTTTGCTGACCCCTATCCATTACATCATATGTAAAATATCAAATACTTTACTTAAAAGATTAAATAACGATCGTTCAGGTAGAGTAAAAGTTTAAATATGATCATTAATTTTTTTAAGATCATTATAATTACTTTTTCAATCATTGTTTTAAAGTTTATTTTTTATCGAAAATAATAAATAAAAATTATGTAAATTCATCATTTTTCAATTTCTTTCCATATTGATTTTCGAAAAAAAAAATTATATGAAAAATATGCACCATATACACAAATTACTTGAGAAAAAGTTTTTTCTTTTTGATTTTTTTTTTTCAACGAATCACCTTTTATACCAACGTCTTAGTCAATTAATACTTTTTAATATATATATATATATATATATATATATATATATATATATATATATTCAAAAAGTTAAAAAAATGTGTATGGTTTTTCTACCTTTGTTTTAGATCTTATCTTATATAAAACAATAACTAAATACGTTAAATTCATCATTTATTAACCTATTTTCATATTGATATTAGAAAAAAAAAAAGTTATGTAAAATGTGCACCATATGCACACATACACAAATGAAAATAGGCATATATGCACATCTCCATATGTGCACACTAATGTGAAGACGAAAAAATCTTAACAAATTAGGACGTTGCTATAAAAAGTGTTTTGTTGAAAAAAAAAATCAAAATAAACGTTTTTCTATTGATGTGCATATGGTGCACATTTTACATTATATGCAATAATAATAATAATAATAATAATAACAATAGTAATAATAATAATAAATCGAATATCGGTGTGGGCGTTCAAACGTTCTGTACTGATATGTATGTTGTATGTTTGTTGATAGGTCGGTGGTAGAGCCGAGGACTTTATGTGGATGCATTGTATGTATGGTAGAATATGTGGTGTATCAGAGAACTCATTAAGGTTTATGCTTATAATTATGGATAAAAAGTTTTGTAGGTTGTTCGTAAGAAAAATTAAGCGGGACTGTACACACGCATCGAATATATTCGTTTACGCGGTTTTGTAAACTTAACTCTGAAAAAGAATAGTTTCAATCAAACAAATGTTATTCAATGATTTCTGAAACAAAGGTTTTAACTGGTTAATCTATTTTTAAAAAAATGACCTTACAGAAATGGGCTATAATCAAGCATAGAGTCACACAATAAAATTGGACAACGATCTAACCGATGACATCAGAAAAATTAGGGTACAACTCCACATTACCATCTAAAACAAGAAATTTGTCTAGTTTACTCATATTACCAGCGAGCAGTTAGTTCAAGTAAAAGAATAACCTCCACGAGAGACATCAATAAAACATATCCAAAATGAATTGATTAAAGCGTCAACAACATCACTATGAAAAATCGAACCAAAATTCTCACTTTCAAATCAAACCTCATTAAAATCACTCATATCAATAACAACCTGACCGGACCATCTAGAATTAAGAAATACGTAATGGCCCCGTAATGAGTATTCTGAAAGGCCTTAACAACCAGACTAGCAAAGACAAAATAGGCCTTAAAATCACTTCAATTTAATTTTTTTCATCTTGATTAAGACCACTCAACAAGCACTAGTTATTATACATATTAAAATACATACCCTATATGGTAGACTTTTTAATTAAACAGTCATAAAGAAAACAATTTGTTAGACACTCATTCAACTAATGGTTGCTCATATCATTCTTTCAAAAGGTGGATCAAGCGGATAAAGGGTTACAATAATACATTTTAGGGCCTTCAAGAACCCGCATCCTTTCTCTCTCTCTAGCTTTCTTTCTCTATCCTTCCATGCATTAATTTGTTGCACCTCATGTTTTAAAACTTATACCAAATTATGTTTGTATGTTTTTAATAGGGATTAGCATATGGACCGGGGAACCGGCCGGAACCGGTCGGGCCGGGACCGGGACGATATTCTTGTGGATTTTTGGAACCGGGAACCGGTAGGAACCGAAACCGATAGAACCGGCAAAAACCGGAACCGTATGTTGCTATTTTTTGAGGACCAGTTCCAAGATTTGAAGACACGGCAAGAACCGGTAGGAACCGGAACCAGTAGAACCGGCGGTCTGGTTCGGTTCCTATTTTCCACCAAGTTCGGTTCCCGGACCGGTTCCGGCCTGATCGGTTCCTTTGTTCATCCCTAGTTTTTAATTAGTTTTATATGTTTTTGATAATTAATTTTAAATGATTTTAAATAATATGTATTTATTTTAAAATTAAAAATTGAAAACATTGAGTGGATTGAGAAAAAGTTTGGAGTTGGAAAGATAAAAAAATAAAAAAAATACACAGCGAAATGAGTGGGTAAGAAGGAAACGACTCCCTCCATCCTTGGTTCTCAAATAGAAACACATGGACAACAATTATACTAACGTAAATATAAAAAACAACCATCTATATAATGCTATTAAATTAAATATTACATACTTGCCAAAAGTTGTCATTTGGAAAACTAATTAAATAAAACTAAAGAACAACTCCAAAATTAAGTCGACAAACATTTACCAAAGGACAAGTGAACACTGAAATCTCACTATAAACAACCACTAAACACTAAAAGCATCAACGTCTCAGTTTATTTTGCAGAAGAAATTCTTCATATACAATTATAAAACAAATAAAAAATAAAAGGAATCAAAATAAAATAGTCATGAAAGGGACAATGCGTCACGCGATATTCATTATAACAATGGAGTTTTGATTGATTTATTGTTTATTTACACTACAAGATAAGTAGAGACTAGCAATGATACAGATATAATGGATTCAAAACGAACAAAATTCTGTGGAGTCTACGATGCATAACACAATACTACTCCATTTATGAGAGATTTGCAAAATCATCAAGCTCCAGATTTTGACGAATTTTATTTGTTGATTGAAATAAATGATATCAGTAGATTACAGGCATAGTTGAATTAGGATTCCAACTACCTCCTTCCTTGAGGTATTGCATGTATCTTGCGAACTCTGGTTTAGCTGTCGCCTTCTTCTTCCGGCTTTTCTTCTCGAATAAGCTGAAAAGGGGATCAAGTTTGCTCAGTTTCTTCGCTTCTCTTTGTATGAAATTTGGGACTTTCGGTTCTGGAACAAACTTCGCCGGTAAATCGCCGAAGAAATTCGGAGGCAACGTTGTGGATCTGATCATCTGAGGCTCTGATAATAGATCGTCGGCGGTGGGTTCGCTGATTAATTGATCGTATCCCCGGCGACCTTTCCTCGTGCTCATCGCTCTAAACATGGCTCCGCAGGTGTAGTGAGAAAAAAGGAATTTGGGGTTGAGTTTTGAGGGTTGAAACTTGAAATGGTGAAAGTCGTAGAAGATGGAAGGTTTTGTAGGCGTGAGAATTTTTTTCAGATGGTCTTCGATGGTAGGCGATACAGCGAAAAACAAAATCTCGGAAAGTCGGTTTGATGTGAGATGTTCTTTGAATAAATATAAAATATTAAAATATAGAAAAAGTTGCAAAAAGTGTCCCTGTGGTTTGTTATTTGATGTGGCTAATGTCAAATCTTTAAAAAGTATGAATTTGGTCCTTTTTCACTTGTTATTGGTTTCTTTAAAAATTAAAAAGAATCCTTTATAATTTAATTTTTAGCCTATCTTAATATTTGTTAAAAATTTAATAAACTTAAAATAAAAACAAATCTCACCTTCCCCACCCATCCTAAGCATCATAAGTGATTATCTCTCAATTCTTGTTTAAAGAAAATCATAAACAACGCTAACCCACCATTGTCAGACCATCATTGGGAGCACCATCGAAAATCACCTAGAGTATGCACAGGAAACCTGTAGAACCCAGTGGACCAATGCCAATGTGTACTCTAAAGCTTATCAACATCAAGAAAAAGTAAGGACGAATGACATTGAAAAAATGTTCATTGTATCGCCTACCATAAAAGAGTAAAAGACCATCCGAACAAATCATGTTTTGGAGATATATATATATATATATATATATATATATATATATATATATATATATATATATATATATATATATATATATATATATAAACTTTCAAACTTTATTTGTTAGGGTCCAAACTTTCAAAAATTTATGAATATGATATGTTATGTAGTTTATTGTGGTTTGGTCCTTAAAACTGTAAAGACTCTTTTATATATATATATATTATATATATAATATATATATATATATAATCTATATTTATATTATATATATATATAAAAGTCTTTACAGTTTTAATGACCAAACCCACAATAAAACTACATAACATATCATATTCATAAATTTTTGAAAGTTTGGACCTTAACAAATAAAATGACAAACCGTCAGGGATATCTTTGGCAATTTTGTCTAAAATATATCATACCCAATAAATATGATGTCATGGCTTTTTTTTTTCAAGTATTTCTATATTTTTTTATGGATTTTTTTAAAAATATAATAATTAGTTTTACAAGAACAAGGAAGGTATTTAAAATAATAAGTATCTGGCGTTCGCATCATTAATTTAATGTGCAAAAACCTATTAACAAGTTATAAAGGTTTGACTTCACAAAGTCTATTTAAAATATTTGATCGTTCAAATTCTTAGTTGTTAACAAAATTGTATGAATGGTCATTTGATTTGATTTATAAAAAGTAAAGGTATCATTGGATAATGAATTAAAAGGTAATATACATTTTGATTTGTACATATTTGATAAATAAGTTTTTTCGTCCATATTTACCCCTTCAACTTGTTTAATTGTACATATTTACTCTGGCTATTTCAGGTAAGCCGGAAAAAATGATTTAAAAATGGTAATATATTTCTCATTTTGTACACATTTATTTCTTAATATTTTTTTTATACATTCAGTCCTTAATATTTTTTTGTTGCAAAATAAGTCTTGTTGTTTCCCTACACACTCAGTACTTATGATCCGTTTTTTTTAGGGTTTTTTTCTCACGTCATCCTAAGCGGCACAATAATTAATAAGTTGTTCGGGATGTTCATGGGTATGACCATCGCGACATCGGCTGCTTGGTTGCTTAGTTCTTGTGGTTTGGCTAAGGTATTGTATTCTGAACGTCATAACTTCTTCATACGATCATATATTTTAATGATCTTCATATCCGCACGTTCGTATTTGAGTCTACTACAATTTTTGTTTAGATTACTCTCGTTAAAAAGTAATATATTTTTACTTAGGATCTTTATATCCATGCGCTCTTTATGAATGTATGTATAAACGTTTTTTTATATGAAATCGTAATTAAAAATATATTGTTTTTTAAAGGGAGTAATCTAAACGAAAATTATAATAGACTCAAATACACACATGTGAATATAAAGATCATTAAAATCTGTGATCGTATGAAAAAGTCACGACGTCCGTAACACAAGACCTAAGCCAAACCACAAGAACTAAACAACCAAACAATCGAGGTTGCGGTGGCGGTGGCCATAAGCATGACTAGCCCCGAACACCTTATTAATGATTGTCCCAAATAGGATCTTGTGAAAAAACCTAAAAAAACGATCATAAGTGCTGAATGTGTACAAAAACAACAAAAGACTTATTTTGCAACAAAAAAATTATTAATGACTAAATGTGCAAAAAAATATTAAGGTCTAAATGTGTAAAAAGTGAGAAATATATTACCCATTTAAGTCATTTTTTTTCGGCTTACCTGGAGTAGGCGGTCATAATAACTAAATGTGCACAGTTAAACAAGCTGAATGGGTAAATGTGGACAAAAAAAACTCAGTGACCAAATGTGTAAAAATCAAAAAATATATTACCCTTTTATGTCATTATCCCTATCATTAATATACGACACAACAAAATACATATATGAATGGTCATGTGATTTATAAAAAGTAAGGGTATCATTAATATATGACACAACAAAATACATAACACAAAACGAAATTAAATTAGAATTTATGTTCGTCTTTTGTAAAAAATACAATGTCGTGTTCAAAATTCGACACTATATTAACATTGTTTATCATGTTTATTTTGTTTTCATGTTTTGTAGGATTAATTACAAATTAAATATAATAAAATTTTATTTTATTATATCTTTTTTGTGTTGGTCATGTTTATCATGTTTTAATTGGACTGTTTTCGTGTTAGTAAAATAAAACACAACATCGTGTCGTGTCGTGTTAGTATTATATAAAAATTTGTTGTGTCATATTGTGTTGCCTAAAAACACGACATGAATACCCGATTTTACACCCCTAACAAAAAGTCATATGTTTGTTCCCTATTTTTTTTCTTGATGAAGATAATACATGTGGTTTCAATTTCTTATATTGTTGGTCACTAACATATATATATAAAATGACTTTTATACAATTTCATTATCTTTTTATCCTTTTGTTTTATATATTTACACAACACCCTACACCCCACCACATCAACCATTTCTTCTTCGTAAGCGTAATCAAAGTTTTAAAGTATGGCTAAACCTTCAACAATACCATCCACGTTTTAAAATCAGAGTGTTTGATTATAGGTTTGTGATTCCGGTTTCTAGACTTCATTTTTTTTATCATTCCAAATTATGTGTTGAGTAACGTCCCAAAAATACAGAGTAAAATTTTCATTTTAATTAATTCAAAATCATTCATTCATTATTCCAAAAGACGATCAGAGTAATAGTATTTTCAAAACATCAGAGTAAAATCATAAACAATCATTGCAGAATAATCTCCAGGGGATGCAGTGCGACCAAGTCGGGTCCTTCCTTTTGAAACCAGAAGTACCTGAAACATTTTAAACATAAACTGTAAGCACAAAGATTAGTGAGTTTCCCCAAAATACCTCATACTATACATACATATCAGCCTAAAGCTGTAACGGGTCTATTTCACCCCTGAGTCCCTTCCGACTCATTCGGTGTTTTTCAACCGATCGAGTCTATTCATACACATGTCTATTTCACCCATGAGTTCCTTTCGACACAATCATTGTTTTCAACCGAACGGGTCTATTTCACCCCACATACATATAACATACAGGCATACATGCATACAACAAGAGTCACAAAGACATCAAGCACATACGACACCTAGTGTCCTACAGTATAGTGAGAAGACTCAATTGAACTACTCAACAGAAGCCCAACAGTTACCTCAGCATCAGAACAGCCAACCCAAACTTCCTAAAACCAAACCGAGATCAATCCTTATTCAAATACTCAATTCTACCCAAGTTTGACCAAAAGTCAAACTGGTCAAAAAAGTCAACGGTCAAAGTCCACAAGGTCAACGGTCAGCTTAGTCAAACTCAACGTCATGTCGTGACCATTCCTTGGTCACGTCATGAGAATGCAACAACAAAACAATCACGATTCTAGGCACTGTCATGCCGTGACATTAACTATGTCACGTCGTGACTTCTGGTCAGAATGCCAAAATCTTCATTAAGTGCTTAATCTCTTCAAACCAAGGCTCATAACCTCAGATCTTATAACATCCTATTTCCTGCCATTTCTGAGCCATGAACCGGAAGTCGATTGTGTGAGGTTTTGGGCCTTAATGAGGCAAAGTTTAGTCGTTGTGGAAGAAGGTAATTATAGTTAAGAGATTTTACCCTTGAATTGTGCTTTGGGCCGAAGGGTAGAAAAAGAAAATTCATAGGCCGGGTTCTTGCGAGAAATAAGGATTTTTTTGTTCAAGAAATTTTTGGTCCAAGATATTTATATAGTATTGTAGAGCTCTTCAACACCTTTCTGTGGATATAAAGAACGTCGAAAATGGAGTTGGAACGAAGATAGGCGTACTAGGGCATACCTAGTACGTTGGGCGTAAATTGAGTATGTTGGACATACACGATCAGTGCCCAAACCCTATTTTCGTGGGTTGAGCCCTATTTAAGCTTCTTAACTCCCCCAAACTCATTCCATTCTCAGCCTCCACCTCTCCAACACCCTCTCATGAAACCCTAACCCTAGATTGATCCTTATGAGAAAAAAGAAGGTGTTTTTAAGTTCTTTGGAGTGTTCTTGGTGCACCTTAGAGAAGAATGAACTAATTAAGGAAGTGTTGGTTGCATTGGAGCTTGTAGATCCAAAATTTGTTCACCTTGATCTTTCTTCTAGAGGTGACGGTTATAGCTGAGATTCGGAGTCGGGACCTCATCAACTATTGTTCAGATTGAGAGGTGAGTTTTCCTCACTGTACTTACGGGTCGAAGGCACCAAGGTCGGCCCTTTAGATTGATATCCTGGTTACTGTATGTTGCTATGTTGTAGTGATCCCTTAGATCTGTAT